AGTTATAAGTTTCTGTATGGTTTTCAGTTTGGATACGCTTGATCAACACCAGATAACATTCACTCAGGAAACAATGTTGAAGGATTGATCTTGGTGATCCATTATCATTCACCAAAGTAATTTTTCTTAATGTCTTCACATACATTGCTTTCTTATTGAAGTATTTGAGTTAAAATATTCCCTAATCTTTAGACATCAACCAACAATAACAACAGCTATTAATTTAGCACGTTTTTATTAAGGTGTGACGATATATAACGCGTGAGGTGATCATTATGTTAGCATAAGTATCAATTATGAATAGGATTGCTGAGTAACTGAAAGAAACAAGTGTTACAGAGTCATATTCGTCAAAGATCTGCTGGTCGGATTTCGCCAGAGACCCACACCGAGAATATATATATATATATTTATATAGTATTGTATATTGTTAATATAAAGGTAAATTTATAACCATGTAACTCTCGGAAAGTTGTGTCAACCATTGTAATGATCCGATAAGAAATATCAGAATCAACATTTATTATTTACGTTCACTTGAATCGACAGGGAAAATGAATAGATAGTAGAGTCAACTTACATAAGAGCATATTGTCATGGAGTATTTGGGTAACTGGGTCAGCGTAAAGTGCACAGCCTTCTTTATGTTTATGGCGTAATTATACAGTTAGGGTTACAATTCAATATTAAGGGTGAGGATTAGTAGTTAGGGTTGCGGTTCGCATCACTAACTAACATCAGCTTTAACTCCTAGGTAATAATATTCATACCCTGATCGTAATTCTCAGCATAAAAAGTCATGTGACTACTTTGGGTGCAGTCCGATTGGCTAAAAGATACTTATATCGTTTGGATGTATATTTGACCCTTACCACCGGCTGATATATCCGTAGACGAATATGAAACAGGTTGTATATCGCGTATTAGTTGCATGAAAATCAATGCAGATTCCGTTGTTGTATTATGGTGCAGATATTGAAAAATCAGACTCCATATAACTTTAGTTACTAAAGGTTAACCAAAGCAACAGAATATAGCAGGTTGACTGATTTACCTACGGAGTTTTCGGCTCAGATTTTAAACATAATCAACATCCGTGTATTATGGTTAATGCTATTGATCCCACTCATCACAGTCACTTTTGATCTGTTGATTGTTTATTGATTTACGAACTTTCATCGAAATAGTGATTTCAATAGTTGACAACATGAGTCGATTAAAGCTAGAACACCATGGGAAACCTGGAAGCACTGGACGGCCGTTTCTTCCTAGTACGGGACTCCTCAGCAGTGCGAATCCACGATCCCACCTCACGAGGTTCGAACCCAAGACTTATCAATCTGACGCGGGGGCGCCTAACCATTAGACCACTGAGCCGGCCGGCATCCAACTGTGTTAATGTCTAACTTCAACCAATCCACGAAATTGAGCCAAATTACACCATTGTCTTTAGTGAGCTGATATCTCTCAACAGACCTGGTTGAACTCTACTGGTCACGGCTTCTCCAGGAAGTGACGCTTGAAGTCAGTCACTGGTGAACAGATGATTAATATTAGAAGGGTTTTTTGAGCTTTCGGTAATTTCAATAGTTGAATTCATGAGTCAGTTGAAGCCAGACCACCATGGAAAACATTGAAACATTTATCTTGTGAGTATATGTTTCTGTTCTCTGTACCGTTTGGTTGTACGAACAATTCATTCTCCTTTATTTCATACTAATAAAAAATAGATCATAAGTGTAGGACTTCGTAGCCACTGGAAAATGTTACATACATACATTGATTTTGAAGCCATTTAGGCACATGTTCATTGACCCTTCATTGAATTGTTCGATTTCTCCTCCCTATGTATGTGTGTCTACACAAACATGTAAATTGGTAAATACAGTGGGATGTCACGTAATCATTAGTGCATTGTCTGGGTCCACTAGGAATCATGGCCTTAGACTCTTTAATCACAATTAATTGAGCAGCATAATAGGTATTCTCGATCGCTGCTTTCAATCTGTCTTAAAACTATGCTGTTAGATTTGCCTCTATATGGTAGATTGATATAAACTTTTTTCTATGGGACCGTCTTGGCATTAACTGACTTTTGCATCTATTAATAAACTTTAATGAATAACCATTTGCTATTAATGTGTCAGTCAGTAACTTTTCATCTTTTTCCACCGTGTCAGATGTACAAATCCTTTGAGTCCTCTTAAAGAGACACTTAACCAAGCCTCGCTTGTATTACAATGGACAAAAACTATGGAAATTTAAGTATTGTCCCGTCCAGGTAGGTTTCCTATACACTGACCGTCTAATAGTGCCATCATCCCTTCGATGATGACACATGAAGCAGAAAGTAATGGTCAATTAGGCTTTTTGGACATACTTTTAAGCCAAATTGTAGAATTTCATGATGTTGTCTGTTTTATTATCCCCTAAAATGACGCTTCCGAAAATTGATACAGATATTACTATTGATCAATCTTCCGAAGGCACTTATATTTTGCTGGGATTGATCTAAAAATACTACCATGCTCAATTTTTTCTATGTAACTAAAAAATCTTAACACAAACAAAATAAGGTACATTTTACGCTTGCATTGGAAAAGATTTGGTCAGCCTGTAAATTCTTACAATAATTATCATTGCCGACCAATCCCTAATTTAAATCACTAAGTAAGAAACAACTACGTGCTGATTAATGCAGCAAGATAAATGACTGTGGATTGTTTAGAGCAACTTACTGGTATAGTTATGAAGGACAAGTGTATTTAAATTGCCAGTCAGTGAGTCAGCTGCAACGTAGGACCAGGCACGCATATGCATCGGTCCAAGTTGCCATACCGCATTAGCACAACAAGATGAACACAGGATTCATAGAAGTAGTTAATTCAGTGGTGGTAATATATAGAAGAAAGAGTGTGTATAAGGATATAGTACAGGAAGAAAGAATTAGTTCCTAGAAAGAAAGATTTGAAATGATTTTAATCTCTTAGTTTATAGGAAGACAGAGTGTGTATACACCGACGCCATTGTGATCGATTCTGAGCCTTGTCACCAAGAGTCTCCAACCATTGGTTACGATAGTCACGCGGAGCCCAACCAGGGAGTATGCATCTACCAACATGGCTCAGACCAGAAGTTAGTGACTTCAAGCACTGATGCCACGTTTTGGTTTGGCCGCCCCTAACTTTCTTCCAATTATCCCTAACACCGGTTAGCATTGCGCGTCGTGGTAATCGGTGTTCAGGCATACGCAGCACGTGGCCCAACCATCTCAGTCGATGAAGATTCATAACCTCATCAACTGATTTACCATCATTCCCTAATACCCTGCGTCTAACCTCACTATTACCTACCCGGTGATCCCAGCAGATACTCGCAATATTTCTAAGGCACCTGTGGTCAAATACTAGTAATTTACGAATATATGGCATTGTTGCTCAGTGCTACCAAAAGACTGCATTTCATCATCGTCTCCACCAAACAGGACCATGTCATCTGCGTATTCTAAGTCAATAAGTGGACCTCCTGGTACGAGATCAATACCCGAGAATTCAGTCGATGAGAGCGTTATTTCCATCAGTAGATCTATGATGAAGTTAAACAAAAAAGGAGAAAGTGGACAGCCTTGACGGACGCCACTTGAGGTTGCAAAAGCAGATGACAGTTCGCCATGAGCTCTGACTCGACTAGTAGTGTTCGAGTAAAGAGCCTTCACAAGGTTTATGTACTTCTGAGGTACGCCTTTCAATGACAGACACTGCCACAGAACCTCTCAGTCAACAGAGTCAAACGCTGCTTTTAAGTCAAGGAAGACCACTATTGTCGGATGCCGATAAGTGTGCCTGTGTTCTAGAACCTGACGAATGGTGAATATGTGGTCGATGCAGCCACGACCAGGTCTGAAGCCAGCCTGATTTTCACGTGTTTGCAGTTCACAAGTCTTAGTTAGGCGTCCGAAAATTAGATATTATGTTCGTTAAACTAATCCCTCTGTGGTTGTCACAGGATGATTTTGACCCTTTCTTAAATATTGGAACGATAAGTGATTGTGACCAGTTAGATGGGATGACGTCTAACTCCCAGAATTTAGCTAAAATATTAGTCAACCTAATCGCTAAAACTAGACCACCATCCTTAAAGACCTCTGGGGCCAATCCATCTGGACCAGCTGCCCTTCCTCGTTTCAGATTAGCTATAGCCTTTTGAACTTCAGCTAGAGTTGGGGGACCGACTTCAATGTTCCATTCATACTGTCTGGGAATAGAGGGTAGTTGTAGATTAGCTGAAGGCCAACTGAATTGCTCCTTAAAATGTTCCGCCCATCGTTCTAAACGTCTGGACTGGGAGCAGATGAGAGTGTCGTCTTTTTCGAAATAGTCTGACTTACACTTGATTTATTAATTCCAGTTTCTTTTATTAGTCTGTAGAGTTGTCTTGTGTTCCCTATAGCCGCCGCCTTTTCCATCTCTTTTGCTTTCGTTGCCCACCACTGCTCACGGTCGTTCCTTAGACTTTTGTTTAACCTAGATCTGATTTCTTTACGCTCTTCATCGTGTTCAGAACCTGATGGGATGAGTTTACGAGAATCTATCAGTGCAATAGACCTTGAAGAAATCCATTGGTTCTTAGTAACCCTGTTGTTTAAATCATTAGTAAATGTCACTGCTGTTTCCACAGCTGATTGTATATCTTTCCAAGCAACATCTGGGTCAGCCTCGTTTTCAGAACTACCTAAGTGTGACCTCAGTTGTTCCTGGAACCTACTTTTGGCTTTCTCATTACTCAATTCGGCAAAGGCCAAACGAGCTTTTGGAATCCGTGCTGAGATTTCGTCAGACACCAACCCATTAGGGGTGATCAGATTTCCAAGATAAGTGAAGTTGTCAACGCCTTCTACTCACAAAATTATGAAAAATTATACAGTAGGATGTTTTGTTAAATTGAACTTCAAATTTTTTAAATTTCATCATTAGTGTCTGTTACTTGAACTATTAATAACCCGCGGTTTTTCGATTACTTAGTATGCATATAAATCATGATTTATTCTGAATTTCATTAAAGCTTTATTGACTGCCGAATCCTTATTTTTACCTCATGTAAGTTAAATTTGTTCATTTTATTGCTATTATTAGCGTTTTAATAAGTGTCCAGATAATTCAAACTAGTTCAATACATCTGATTATTTATATTGCTCGATATTATTAGTTTATTGCCTTTACGTGACCAACGTGGAAAGATACTGAAACGTCTGAACCGCATATGTTTAGAAAAACGCTTTATGGCTATCGATTTATCCACGGATTATCATCCTGCGACTGGAATATTCTTGTCGAAAGATATATAGTTATATATCTTTTAACACCATGTAAGATCATCTTGCAACTCTTTATTTCAACTCACTTTGTCTCGATTTAAATGAGTTTTGTAGATTTATCCAGATATACATTTTTTATCCTCTGCAGTTGATTTATTCTCTGTAAGTCCATCTACCCATGGATGAATAGGGATTTCTGTTCAAACAATTGTTTCTTTATTTTCAAACTTGATCCCTTGTGGCTCTTTTACCCAGAATTTATGCTTTATAGTTTCCATTTTGCATACGAACACTTGATATCAAGGTAACATGATGGTTCTTGGTCGTAACAATTCTATCGCTTTGGAAAATATTCATTCATTTGTATATAAATCTAGTAACCTACACGTAACTGTTAAATGTACTAAAACTAGTGCGGTCAGATGGCTAAGCTACCTTTTTCATAGGCTACCAAGACCTCATGGCTTACTTGACATTGTGAGGCGAGTGGAGAAAAATTATTTGATTTACACTGACTCATCAAAAAGATGTTATCCATCAAATCATTCTTATCACGTAGGGAACGCCTAAATTCTCCTTATACTACCGTATTTGCAATTATTGTAATTAGGCTCAGTGTTAACTCTAAAAATGCAGTATTGTCTTTTATCCAGGTAGCGTGTTCAATAAACAACTCCTTACAATCTGTGTTTTATTTTATGAACAGAAACGGTATGCGGCATTGTATTCTTCCTCTTTTCAGTGTCTTAACAGTTAGATGTATGGCCAAAAATTCTTTCAAATTAACATACGCTATATTTGTCGGAAAAACTAGCATACTAAATAAAATTTTATTATTCGTTTGTATTTCATCCGAGACAATTAGCACGGATGCGTGAAACATTTTTGATCAGAGTAAAGTTTTGTCCCGTCAGACTATCAAAGAAACACATCAGAGGGGATGCGTGGTATCCCGGTATTGATTTTGAAAGTTAGAGTGAATCATATTCTCTGAACAGTAATATGGAGAGTTTGGATGTGATCATTACTTTGACCGTACTTTGTTAACTTTGATATAATAAAGGATGGTACACGAATGATTAGTTGCTAGCCTCGTACAGTAAATTGATGTACTTAGTTTGATAGTAATATGATTTCAGTCATTATCTACAGGAGGAAGTACTTTCTCTAAGTGCCGCATCTTCATTCAAAGCACTTACGTTTACTTCAATTTTTAAACATTCATTAGATCTTTACTTTGTTTAGTGATAAGATGTTATATTGATAGCAATGAACATAACAAGATATTTAACAAATTATTTTGATGTAAATGCTACCTAACTTTGCAAATTTATGCAGAATGTGCAATATGTTTGAAAGTTTAGAAACATTATATGCTTTTCAATGCTAATAGTCTTGTATAAATCTGTTCTTACAATCGTTTGGTATTGGTTAATTAATTGCTGTCATCTTCTTGCACTTACTTTTTTCATCCTGTTCCTAGATACTTGAAAATAATCGTGTAGTTTCTGCTTCACCGACACTTTTTTAAGGCATAGTTAGTTTTTCATACCCAAATGAGTTGCCTCAACCGTTTTTTCCAACTTCTCACTACGTTATGCATTTTAAGATTTTCTACCACGAACTGCGGATTCCATAGGGCTATTCAGAAAATTTAATTGCCTCAGCTTTCACGTCGTTTAGGTCACTAGATTCAGGAGCTTTAAAATAAATCACTGATGCTTTCAGTATGAAATTAACTTTTCATCACTCTTCCAAACCTAGAGAAACTGAATGATTGTTTTGTTTGCGTCTAATACTTCTCATTAAGTATTATTATTAGCTATATAAACTAAAATGTATCAAGGCCTAAACTAGGTAGTTAGTTAAGTTTATGTGCATATTCGTATTTGCAAGATTTTGTGCGCTGTCAGTTGTTGCCGAATAAACATTATAAGCATTTCATAGTTATTGGTAGCATGGTCAAAGACAAAATTGAATTATTATTATCCAAATCAGGTGAACAATAAATACGAAATATTGTTTCTCTACTAATAAGAGTTATTTTAGTGCATTATTTTTGATAAAGAATATTATTTTTACACAATATTCAGATGGATATCTATTCTGCTTTTATTAATATGAATAAATAATGAGTTTATCAACCAGTAATAACAAGTTTATTCGTTTCATAAGACGTTTCAAAATAGATTATTGTATCTTTTTTCTGTGAAGGCCGTTGTAAAGTAATTGTTTATTATAATTCCAGACTATGTTGTAAAGAAAGCTGTTTAATGAGGTTGTTTCTGAATGGAAAATATTTCAACCTTAAACATTTACTGAATGCAAAGCATAGTTTAGTAGTATTAGGTATTTTTGTAATGCCTAATGAATTTATAATGTTAGAAATCAGATGTGAGTTTAGATTTTAAAATAAATACTTTATCAATTAGTTTGTTCATCGTAGAAACTCTCTGAAAGATTATCAGAACATCAGCAATTAGTCTAAGACTTTTGTTATAAATCGAGACTGGTGAACACTTCACATCTACAAACTCACACACAACGTTAAACACCAGATCATCATTTTCTATAGTAAGGATGGGACTGCAATGATATCCAGTGGTTCATACGACTCAAGTTGGGTTTTATGCCATAATTATATTCATTTTATTGCTTCACTTTCAATAGTGATCAACTGGACAATAACTTTTATATTAGAACTTTGTAAAATTCTCGAAATTATTTGGGGGTGAACATAAAACTAATTACTTTGATGTTACTTTGATTGAGAGAGTTTCGTCTAATTTAAAAAATAGATCTTTTCCAAAAATTGACATTATTCGTCCAAGAGTTTCCTTATTTACAATGCTTCCTTAGTTTATAACAATAAAAAATAGTGAAAAAAACTAGTGATGATGTTTTAGGAAGATGAAGAATGAATTTGTTTGTTTTCAGATGATTATTTTTAAAATAATTTGTGTGAAATATGTAATCACTGATTATGAGCGTCTTATACATGCACAACTTATTTTTGTCGATGTATCTTACCAATAAGTGTAGGAACACATGATAGCTTAGAGTACTCTGGATTTACTAATATATATGTATTAGACGATTTCCGCTTTAATTTGTATCTTTAATTTTCAGAGATTTATTGGAATGATGATTTGTAAATCTTTCAATATTTACTTATCATTCGTTCCTATATTCTGGTCATTCTTATTTTCACCAAATATCTATGGTTATTTAATTGGAGTCGGAATATATGACATAACTGGCCCAATAACCGATATCAATATGGTAAGAATAGATTAGTTGTTAGTTTATTATCATCAAAATTTATTATAAATCATATTATATTTCTGATATAAACTGTATTTGCCTTTGTGAAATTAGTGGAATAGAAAAAGTTGAGAGGTTAAAATCATTTTTATAAATTGATGAAATTCCGATAAGTCCACTCAAGAACAATTCAATCATTTCAAGGACAATTTTTAGCTAAAAAATTGATATCGGCTTCAGCGTTGTTAGAAACAAGAAAACACTGAACATTTATCTCTAAATTGTTTATGATTCATGAATACTATTCTCTCTTAATTCTACATTAGATCAGATTTAGTGAGACAAGTTGCTCAGTACTGTGAATTTACTGAATAGTAATCGAATATTTAATTTTTTACAGCATCAACCCATTCAGTTTATAGTTTAACCATTATCTGTGGAGATTTCCTAGGCTTAAAAAAGTGACTAAATCCACAGATAACGTCTGAATGTTCATATTTAAGCAGTTTATGAGACACTGGACAGTCGTTTACTTATGTGAATTATTTATTTAAATTAAAGAATGTGTTCACTGCAGTCATGGCAGTAGTAAAACACTCATTGATATCATTCAGTCGTTAAAAATTCATTGTTTTAACGACAATATTGGGTTACAGAACCAAGTTTATGGGTAACTCATTGATCTGGATCAAAATCCGAACCGAAAATTTCCAGTTTCGATCCCCTGACCACTATCCAAGAGTCTCATTCTAGGAAATGACAATCATCTTGCGCTTCCTAATTTGCAGGTTGAGAATTCCATGCTATTGATAATAGATATTGAGTGATGTACAATATAAAAATCAATGTTTCGATAATTTCTCTTTTCAAACAAAATACAGGCTTAATTAATTATCACGAATTATATTGTTCCTTAATGATATAATGATAGTAATTAAAAGAAGATAACCCTAAATATTTGTATAAAGAGAAACTTCTAGCATTTTGTTTTCACTTGTTTGTAGATGTTGATATCTTTTTGTTTTTAAAAACAAAATAAGTTTACTACAATTCAATTATCAGCTTGTTATTGATCACAATCAATTACTCTTAACTTTATGAGCATATATTATGTTTGTTACTTCTCTCACTTTTCTTTTTTTTTTTCGAATACGAATTATATTTATAATCTTTTATAATCAAATATGTTTTTGTTTTATTAAAAGACACTATTTATTTGAAAAGAAAATCATTAATAAGTTTAATGAAAATTTTGCGAATATAGGTGTATGAAGTTAAAAGATAATTTTATCTATTGTATAATTCGTCTACGTAATAACTTCGACAGAATCAGAAATATATTGTAGATTTAAATGTTATTGGGTCATCTATCATATCTGAAAACTGTTTCATTCATTATTATTATTTTTATTATTATTGTAATCATTACTAATATCTCTCTTCTATTTGCCTTCTTTTTTTAGATGGGCTATGGTAATATGAAACAAAATGATAATGGACTTCATTTAAGATTATTTAGTCGTGCATTTATTATTCAAGAGAATTCTAGTTCACAACCAATTGTCATTGTTATAATAGATGCTGGTATGGCATCACAAGCCGTTAAAATTAAAGTATGTAATATGTATATATATATATATATATATATATATATATATATATATATATATAATACATTTTATAAAATAATAAATATTGGAAATCAATACATTGTGATTAATTTGGCTTAAATTGTAAAAGTTTGTTATTCGAACCTGTTGTTAATATTTAGAACCTATAAGACAAGGTAGTAGACATAATATTTTTATAGACAGTACGTTAGCATTTAAAGTAAAAGATGCTGAAGATAAATTTCAGTATGAATATCAACACTAGAAAGTACATTCCGATAGTTGAGTCTCATATAAAATTCAAAAGGATTTCTTAGTTTCTACAACTAGTCATGTAAAAAATATTGTTAAAAAAACCCATTTGTTTATATTGATTTGAAACAGTTATAGCTAAAAATTTCTCTTAAATAATGGATTATAATAATTTTAAGTCAGAAACATTATATTTTTACAATGTTGACTAGTAAACAATGTTCCCTTTGTTAATTTGTAAAGAATAGCATGGTTTGAATAGAGTAATCTGAACAGTTTTTTTTATTTCGTTAGGTATAAGTTAACTATTTACATTCTATTTTATGTAAATACCAAATTTAGATCAGATAATTTGTTAATGTAAAATTGTTCTTAATTACATTGGTAATTCCATTTGTAAGTAACCATAAAGGCAATCTAACAAAATCAAATGAATTCACATTATTCTATTCTTTTGAATTTATTGAATAATTAATCAGTTAGATTGAAAATATAGTTAATTTTCTCAGTCGATTGATCACTTTTTGGATAAATGAAGATAAAAAAAATGAATTCATTTAAAATTCATCTTCATGTTATAGTTAATATTATCCTGTATACTTTCTTCAAATGATTAATTTTGTTCATCTTGCTTTAATAATTGTAAAATTATGCAAAAATGCTTCTTTGGCGTTATTATGATAATCTTGATATTGTACAAAATAATCTAGAGCATTTTAAATTTAAGGAGTTTTTGAAAATTGTTGAATTTTATATTGTACTTCACAAACTGCTCTTAGTAACTTACTCCTGTTAGTCCTTGTGTAGAAGCAAAGGTCATCCATCGACAGTTTTCATACAACACTGTCCTGGGAAATCCTTTTCAGTTGCTTCTAGTTTCCATCCACTCTTCTAATATCTGATTCCGATTCCTGGCATAGTGTGTTATTTGGCCTTCTTCTTCTTCTCCGTTTCCCTTCAGGATTCCGAGTTAGCGCTTGCCTTGCGATGCAGTTCGGTGATTTCCGTATTGTATATCCTATCCACTTCCAGCGTCTCTTCTTAATTTCCTCCTCAACTGGAAGCTGGTTTGTTCTCGCTCAGAGTAGGCTGTTGCTGATGGTATCCGACCAAGGAATATTGAGTATCTTGCGTAGACAATTGTTTATAAATACTTGTACTATTTTGATGATGGTTGTAGTAGTTGTCAAAGTTTCATATTGAAGACTGTAACTTTGATGTTTGTTGACAGTTGTTTTGAGTCACGTATGTTCTCCAACTGTAGGAGTGCTATAATTGCTTTGTCAATCCTTACCTCTACGTTTGCATCAGGTACATGAAAGTTCCCACATATTCGAGAGCTTTTGCAGCAGTAGACCTCAACATACACAAGTGAAAAGTAAGATCCTGAAATGCAACACAGAGAACACCAACCCAATCACACTTGATGGAGAAGCTCTTCTATTAAGCAATAAAAATCACGAATGCACTAGAGAGTTATTTGGTTTTGTTACATAGCTCATCAGTGGCCATCTACGACGAACTTACTGTGGGTTAACCGTGGGACCTCGAAACTCTCTGTACTGATAATAATGATATGCTCATGATTGACATATCGAGGTGATTCGCAAAGTTCTAGTGAGTTGTGGTCAGTGGAGTTTATTAATTTAGATTGCATAGTATTGTGAAATGTTTGAAGTTATAAATGTAAACGATTGGATGCTATTCGTGTAATCTAAAGGTTAAACGCTTGGTGCGAGACTTGAAAGTGCTAGGTTGGATGCCGGGTGGAACCGTGGGTGCACACCGCTGTAGAGCTTTTTACCAGCATGAAATAGCCATTAAAGCTCTCTTGTTTTCACTGATTGTCTGACTAGAATCCTTCCGTAATGTGAACCATAAAGTATCTTACTGGTTGTCATACAAAAAATTAAAAGTTTTCTTGATCTAGTTTACTGTTCAGTTGTTTTTAAAATTTTATGTCATTAGTTTTGGGTTCCCCCAGGTATTTCCAATATAATCGACTTATTTCTACTGTGTTACATTTTAGATTGGGATGTGATGTTTTATAATTTGGAATAAATACATATTTCCTCACTATTTATTGCTTTGTTGGTTGGATTACTTAATACTTTGACGTTTGTTTTCTCAATGAACAGATACCCCATACCGGTTTCTTGGTGATACAGACGCTTTTAAATCTTCAAACTTTATAAATGCTAACATTGCAATATATGTAATTTTTGAAATACATTTTACTTCATACAACGTAGCAATGAAATTGTAAACCATTATTAGAAAGTTGTCATCAAAAATAATATTCAAACCAATTCATTATCATTTAATTAATTATCAACACTTTCATTTAAACATCCAATTTATGAACTGTGTATAAAACTACAATATGATCTAGTCTGTAGTTGATCATTCTCAAATCATAGCACTTTATTTCCTTAAATAATACTATGCTCCATAATCCGTTACTTATTTACTTCGACTTTCTGGGTTTCGCAAAAGTTGATAGTAATTTCAATCATGAATAAAAGTTCCAGATGAAGCTGTAACCTAAAAAGTTATAGAATCGCAAGTGAAGCCACTGATAAAATTGAATAAAGGATCCAGATGTATTGCGAGTGAATTGGAGTTAAAAACAAATCATTGAGTATTGATTGAGCAACTGAATGGTATCATACTCTTAGTAAGATATGTTGCTATTAGTTCGACTCTGTGAGAGGAAGGGTCACTGAGTTGAATTGTCAAACGAAGATAATAAGACCGTTCAGTACTCACTATTTTTCCAAAGAGATCCAGCTAGCACTAGTTCATGATGAACATGATTTTTACATTTCGTATTTTTTATCTGACCGTTTATTTTCACATTGATTTTAACCAGTTCGATGAATCATTTGTCTTTTTTTCTCAAACAAAAAAATCGACTTTAGGTCATCGATAATTTGAAAAGTCGATACGATAATGGGTTATTTACACACCAAAATGTTTTAATTAGTGCAACCCATACTCATTCTGGTCCTGCTGGTTATTTACAATATATTCTATATTCATTTACGTCTCTTGGATACGTTCCTGAAACATTTCAACCATTAGTTGAAGGAATTGTTAAGGTATATAAAAATACTTTTATCTTTAATCATATGTGGGGGGTTGTGGAAATTGTAGTAAATTAAAAGGTAAATTCGTGAGTCGAATAAAGCTAGACCACCATTGTAAACCTGGAAGCAATGGACGGTAATTTCGTTCTAGTATGTAACTCGGCGGTGCGCATCCACGGACCTGCACGCGAGACTCAAATTCAGGACCTTCGATCTCGCACGCGAACACTGAACCTGTAGACCACTAAGACAGCATCCAACGGTGTTAATGTCTAACTTCAATCAATCCACGATGTTGCGTCACCGTCGACCATTACCTTCAGTGAATAAATGCCTCGTAACAGACACGCGCGACATCGAAGGTCCTGTGTTCGTGTCCCGCGTGCGGGATCATGGACACACACTACTGAGGGGTCTCATACTAGAACGGAACGTCCGTCTAATGCCTCCAGGTTCTCTGTGGTGGTCTAGCTTACATCGACTCATAAATTCAACTATTTAAATCGAATAATTGAACACAATAAACCTACCCTTTAAAATATTGAATTTTGAATATCAGATGAACAAATATCTTTTTAAAAGTTATCTTTAAACGTCTGACATAATAATGTCTTGTCAGCTAAGTGATGAGGATAATTGAGTTGATTGAAGACGGTCGTCCAAAATCCTAGATAGACTTAAGCTTCGTGCTTGTTGATATCCATCAGTATGAGATATCTGTAGTTTTGTTGAGAGTAATGCTCCCCATGGATTCAAGTCCCACAGGGAATATTACTTCTTTTATGAATGCAGGTACATTTTGCTAACACGTGCCAACTAGCACAAAATCTCGATGGAGAGGTTCCTTACAATTGTTCCCAGTCACCTAGTAGTCATTCAAAGTTCACATGGTTGTAAGTAGCTTAGACTGGTAAACACGTTACAACTGAGTCAACGCAATTTAATTAACACTAAGGATTAGGTAATTATGACGGTGATTGATACTCAATGGTCAGTCGATGTACATAATGGTTATGTTTGCATAACACGTTTAATAAAACCCACGAACATAAATGAACTAAATATACACTTCTTACATAACCGACTGAATAATTTTTGTATTGTAATATATTATCATGTTAGTATACTAGAGTTTTAAGTTGTTAAGAAATATCAGCTCAAACCTATGAAATTATCAAGACAAAAATGCTTGAACAGTAGAAGTAGTAAAGGTGTCAGTGATAAATAAAACATTAGGCATAGACAATATAACTCGCGAAACACAAAGGTATAGTTTTAAAATCCAAGATTTAAGGGAAAGTAAAGAGTGAATGGATTTAAGCCATGTCACCCAACATTGATTGTGTACAACGCAATCAAGTACTTTGCAACTGCATACACTGCTCAAGCAAGGTGTATAGTATTTATTGGACATCAGTTGTTATTAATGAACTTGTAAATTTATGTTTTTACAATATTAAGAATTATGTTGAATCCACATATAAATCAGGAGAATCGTTAATTTATTATCTTGTTTAGTAAACCCATTTCCCAATAAGTTCCATGTCGGCTGATCATGTACCCAATGAGGCATTAGAACCAGAATCATAGTTGAAGTCATCTTTGACTTTAACTATATTATTGAAAGAAGACCCGATATAAGCCCTAGAAACATTAAAATGCATTTAACCCTACTTGTGAAATCGCTATCATGATCATTAGTTTCATCCCAAATAGAACGAAATTCTCTTTCTGGGTTCCACCATTAGCGACCACAACTCAAATGTACCAAAATGAGAATATTATGTTTAAACTTATCTTATGAAAACTTTATTTACTTGTTTATTTGATGATGTAATGTAATATTAAACTAAAGCAATTGAAATTTGTAGCCTGTATTTACGTTTCATTCGGTTGGATTTTTTTCAGAGTATCGATTTAGCTTATTCTAATATGAAAGAAGGAAAAATATTCAAAGCTGAAGGAGATTTACATAATGCTAGTATCAATCGTAGTCCAGCGGCTTATTTAAAGAATCCAGTAGAAGAACAAGCTCGGTGAGTCTCCTTTACTTTTATAGTGTGTAACGGGTTCTCATTCATGACTAGACGCTATTAGTTAGCTATGCATCGCATTCATTATAATTGGTCTAGGCTTGGTGCTATAATTTTAATGAATCATAATAAACAAAATAACCAGGTCATTTAGAATCTTCTCTCTTTCGATATTAGTTACTAAATATCGATCGAACTACATCATGATCTGATTGGTTGGATAAGTGAATATATCATATTTTATAATTTATAGAATCCGATCACCATTGAAGACTAGAGGAACGGAATGTCAATTTGTAGGAAGAATATTGAGAAATAAAAACCCTAATAATATTTTTATTGATTCGATGTTATAATTTTGTGCTTTTGTGTGTGAATTATCCTCGTCATTGTTACAAGTCTATCTTTTAGGTAATTGTTGATAAACACTTAAACTAAACAAGGACGCCTATGTTGATTGTCATTATCTGCATAATCTTACGTGTAGAATATATCAGTTTACGCAGCTTACAATGTGAAGGTTAACGCGTTTAGATCTTACCAACACTTTTATATGTCGGAGTAGGTAATACGATTCATCAGTTTAAGCTTTGCTAGATGAAGCGAAGATGAAAACACTTGTTAAATCAAAATAGATTTATGCAGTGAAATAATGACACAGTATAATTACTCTGTGAACAATCAATTCCAAGTAATTTGAATTTAATATTTTGAGACATTGAAAATCTGGAAGCATTGGATGGCCGGTTCACATGCGAGATCTTCAATGCGCACTTCTGAGGAGTCACATACTAGGACCAAAAATACGATTCATTGCTTTCAGGTTATCAATGATGGTATAACTTAGATTGATTCGTGATTTTAACTGTGAAAATGCTACAATCTCCGCAAACACCCATACTGATAACATATTAAATTAATGCAAAATGAATAAATAGCAATAAGCGTCTAAAATTTTGATCGATTTTTATTTCTATCATAAAGTATAGATAATCTATGATAAATATATCAATTTCTTATACTATTCAAGAAAGAACATGCATAGACAATTCTAAGAAAATAGAACCGTCTTATTATTATTATTTTGGAAATCGAATATTAAAGTCGCTTTTATTCAATTGTAAAAATTACGTTTAATGAAATAATAATATTAATAAGGTTTTCCGAAATACAAAAGACTAAATAGTATATTTATTTTATTTCATCTCATTTTATCCTATCCTAGTTAATGATTATCTTATTTTATAACATCCAATATTTTATTAAGATTATTTGGAAATAATAAAAAGAATTAATAACTAATGACTAATAATTATCATTTCTATTAAGTATGATATATTTCTTTTATTATCTCAGTTTAGTTGACATAGTTATTAATAAAAAAGATAAGGAAACCAGTAAAATACTTTTAAATTTGTAATGAGAGCGCTGAATAATTACGCATATTAGATGTAACAAAAAAGACTTATTTATTTATTTAAACACATAGATATTGGTACAAGATGGTACCAGATACATATGCGCCAAACAAATCTCATTTGATTTGTGTGAATGCTGTGTTACTGCCCGGGTTTCCAAACCGAAGCAGATGGTCTTCTTAGGGGGGCACCCCCGTAGCCTTTGGCCCAAAGGTCTGATCCACAAGGCATTGGGGCAACGTAAAGAGATGTAGTCTTATGGTAACCGGTGACCAATAATTGGTTCATACGCCATTTGTTCCCTCAGGATACTGGAGCCCATGTGCATCATTGGTTTGGAATCAGGGTTTTCCAATTCACTTAGGTGGACTCACCGTTTCCACCGGCTCGGTTAAAGCATCAGACATTCGCTTTTTCTTCTCTCAATTTCGTAAACAACACCTGTGGTGCGAAAAGGCACTGAGTAGGACTTCCATGGCAGAGGCTATCTACGCGTGGCCATGTGAGAGAATTTTAGAGAGGGAGAACAGACTCTCCTCACTCTCGGTCGTATCAGGGCGTTTGGGGGCTAATAAAAAAGAAATTTCTGTAGTTAGAAAAATGTTAAATAGATTATTATTTTATTTCAATTTACACTTTATATTAATTTAATACTTTTATTAAATATCAGAAAGTACTGTACGTAATTAATTTTAAAGCTATACAAAACATTCTAATGATGTAACTCTCACGGACCGGTGAAATTGTTAAACGTATATCACATATGATCTTTAAAAAGTATGTCATCTACATATTAATTAACTGATAATATTAACTAAAATAACAGTAAAAGGTAATAAAAACAATAATTTAGTATTATTATACTAAGTACTGATACTGATTTATTTTATGTTACCATTTGTTTGTTTGATTTGTAAATCAAGATAAAATGTTTTCGTTTGAAATTCTTATAATATTCTTAGATACTCATTAGAAATCAATGATAATTAAGCTTAAACTCTATCATATTAATAGTCATATTTTATTGAATATTAGTAAATCAGTAATATGTAGTTATCAGAATAAATATTTTTTCATTTTTTGTTTATTAATAAAACATATTTTGATTGTTGTATTAAATTTTGTCAATATATTGAAGATATTTATTCTTTTTAAATGTAAAAAATTCTATGATAATTTTTAACATTATGTATATATATATATATATATATATATATATATATATATATAATTTCAATTGTTAAGATCATGAGTCAGTTGAAGCTAGACCACTATGAAAACCTGGAAGCATTGGACGGCCGTTTCGTTCTATTGTGGGACTCCTCAGCAGTGCGCATCCACGACCTCGCCCCCCTGGAGTTCTAGTGAGAATTAGTGACCAGTGGAGTTCAACCGAGTCTGTTATGAGATAGTAACTCACTGAAGACAAAAGTGGATGTGTCGCTCGATTTCGTGGATTATTTGAAGTTAGACATTAACACCGTTTGATGCCAGCTCAGTGGTCTAGTGGTTAAGTGCTCACGCGCAAAACCAGTAGGTCCTGGGTTCGAATCTCGCAGGGGGCGTGGCCGTGGATGCGCACTGCTGAGGAGTCTCACGATAGAACGAAACGGCTGTCCAGTGCTTCCAGGTTTTCTATGGTGGTCTAGCTTCAACTGACTCATGATCTTAACCATTGAAATCACACACAATAAAAAGATACTTGAAGTGTCTGCAAAAGAAGCTGTATTGATAGTGGTCTTGGTAACTTGGAAAGGTAACATCAGTTTCCAAGGGACAACTACTTGATGGTGGTCATGCATAGCTATTTTTGCGTAGTTTCAGATATTTTAACTTTGTAATTAAAACGTCAGTAAAGTAAATCGTTAGGACAAGGTGAAGCATTGTATTTTCACGGCTCACCTCTCATAAATTCTTTCCATCTTTCCAAGATAGCATCTCGAAATATATTTTTTGGGGCGAGACTCTAATTTATAAACGATCCAATCAGAAGCGTTTTAGAGATTTCCAGTCTACGGCGCCAACTTCAGTGCTTAATTCTAACGTACGATCGGTTTACAGGGAATTTTGTACAAAACGTGATAATTGATCGGCTATAAAAAAATGAAACGGCGAGACTATAATTTGTGGACGAAACAATCAGGTATAAGATAACAGATCCATTTGGCTAAATAAATTTCTGGCATTATAGCTGATATCAATTCGTGATGAAAACTTTATATATAATTCCTAAGAAAAATTATGGCACTTATTGCGAACTGGATAATAAAAGCACCAGCAACACTGGCTGCAGCCAGGTACTACAGTATATACGGATGTTTGGAGAGCGTACAGACGCCTACATACGCTTGGTTATGTACATCATTTTGTTATCCACAAGTAGCATTTTGTGTACTCAACAACCGAAGTGCACATAAACAACATTGAAAATATGTGGTCGAGGCTGAAAGTTTTTGAGACTTTATCATGGTTCCAGAGGCCGACTATTCTGTAACCGTATGGATGATTTCCTCTACTGCATACATTACGATTTTAGAACCTCTTTCTAACGTTGACAAGTTTTTGAAGCACGTATAAGAAGGAGTGTATCCACTTTATTTCTTTGGTTTTGTATAATATTTTTTTTTACTCTGTACTAACTGTTTGCTGATTGGCTAATATTCTCAGGGTCACTTAAGATTCGTTCAAAGGTCGTTCATAAATCAGAGTCTCACCATTGTTTGTCTTGGGCGTAACAGCTAGTTGATGTCACATTTAAATACAGTTGGCACTAAAGATTTACCGTTCGATCATGAGTTTGTTATTTCCGGTCATATCACTCCTCAACCGACCTGGCTGTTGTGATAGTGTCTAAAGGAACAAACATACCAGTCATTACAGTTCACCTGGGTCACAATGATAAAGAAACCCAACAACCATGACGAGATAGCAGTTACAAATAAAACTACGTTGAATCATTTAGTTATTTATTCTTTCGGTTATAGATTATTTTAATTTTCAAACGTTTGTTAATATTAAGAGCTGAGATAATCAGTCTCTGTCTTGGTTTATAAACTTTGAATCGAGTACCTCGATATTATATTCATCATGTTTATTAACTCTTGGATATCATTGATTCTGTCTAAGAAGTCTGAAAATAAAAGGAAACACATATTTTACATTTCACTTCGACGCATTATTACAAGAATGTATTCTTAGCCTGTTTTTTTTACTTCTTTTTGAAAAAAAACATCTTGTAGGTATGATGAAAATGTAGATAAAAATATGATTTTATTAAAATTTGTTACAATGAATAATACACCAATTGGAATGATTAATTGGTTTGCTGTACATCCAGTCAGTATGAATTCTACGAATACTTTAGTTAGCAGTGATAATAAAGGATTAGCATCAATTTTATTTGAACAAAAAATGAATCATAATCAAATGCTAGGAAAAGTTAGTCATTTCCATGGTGATTATTTTTTGTTTTTGTTTAAATATTTTCGTTTAAATAATGTTAAATAAACTATTATTTATATTAACTTTTATTTTAACAGGCTAGTAAATATTTTTCATAACTAGTAGTTTAATTTTTTCTGTAATATATTTTCCAATAAAATAATTTGAGTAACTTGAAACTTTCAAAATAAACTAAACTGTTTTCACACAAGTTAGCTGTGTTTCCTTAAGATTTCTGAAAAGCTGACATTTATAATTTCATTGTACGTATCATGAGCCATTCCTAAATAGATAACTACTAAAAACTGAGAAGCATTGGATAACCACTTGATTCTTGTTTAAAACTTCAACTGTCTTGAATCATGATAGTACTGTGGACCAAACTCAGGAAGCCCTAGCCATATAGAATCTTTCTTTCTTAATTTTTTAATGTTAAAGAGAATATAACATATATATATATATATATATATATATATATATATATCTCATTCTCTTATTCAGCTGACTAAGTTGTCAAGTGAATTTTTGCTTTTCATTTATTTTACAATTACTCAAAATATATGAATTCATTTATAAAAAAAATTAAATGAAGACATTATATGTGAAAATTATATTTGAAATAATCTCAATAATTGGAATTGAAATAATTCCATCGTTTCGTCCAGTAAACTTGTCTAAACTTCTTTAGGGTAATAATTAAAATCAAAATTAGCAAAGAAATATGTAGTATTTAACGATCAAATGAAATTTTTTACTATGCTTATCCAATCATATTTAGATGTTGATTTCAGTACAGAGGATAATTTGGGTCAGTCATATGCAAATCATGTGAAAAGTTCACAATGTAAAAATAAATGAATGAATGAAATGTGTGTGTGTATGTATAAGATTGATTTATTAATAGTTGATACTAGGTATAATTTATTTTTATATGAAGTAAAAATAAAAAGACTAGCGCAAGTTGAAAGTTGAGATCGTTTTTGAATCGTCAATGGGTATGTAAAATAGGGATCATCGAATACACAATTGTATTGCTAAAATATCCCACATTAATTTTTTTCAGAATAACGATACATGTGAAATAATCAGGTTGGATGGAGAAAGGGTTCAATTACTTTTCAATGGACACTTGCCAAGTATTTGCAAGTTGAATACCATCCTTTCTGTTCAGGCTGTTTTTATTAGTCCATATAAACAGCGCTTCTGCTGTCGATTTTTCTTTATGTGTGACAAAACCTTTCTGAAGTATTTTGGTACCTTCAAGGTTGATCTTGTGACCTGTTTCTAACGCATGTAACGCTATCGTCGACCTATTCTCAAGAATCCTCAGATATAATATGAACCATAATGAAGAGAACAAATTTTGCTAATAACTCTTCTTTAGATTGATCATATTGATATCGATCAGTAACTGCTGAATGTAAATAATTTCATTAAATACATACAATCCATTAAAGGTTAAATACGATAGTGTTAAATCAACTTATCTCATTAAGTAGGTTCAGATTTTCAAATGGAGAGTAGTTTCCATTAAATCTACTGATGTATCCAACTAATTAGTGTCAGCAAACATAGAACTCTTATGAAGTATTATTTCCTCATAATTACTTTCAGTTATCAAATAATTTCAAAAACTTTTTCCGACACAAAAACGATGGTAAAGAATTCAATTTTTTAGAAATTCATTACCCTATAATTACCTATATAAACATATAACATATTTTAAAATTGAGATCATGAATCCATCAATGTTAGATTACCATTGAAAACCTGAAAGCACTCGTGTTGGGATATTCAAAAAAATATCCCAGAAATTATCCTGTTAAGTCTAATGCTATCCTTGGACTTGAAATAGTATCGTTTTCCTATTGGTCAATATTTATTTCACGTGTCATTTTCCTGTTGGTCAAATCTTGTACAAATGTTATTTTATATTTTATGGTACGATGTGGTCTGTTTGACTGGTATATAAACAGAGTATGTTTGAAATATAATGATTCATATCGCAGAAGCTGAGACTTGTGTTCTGGACTCAACTGGCTTGGCTAGACAGGGAAGCAGGGTCAATCAGAACTCTAAACTGTTCTTACGTGTTTTACGCGTCTTTAGTCCGATCGATAGTTCGCTGCCATCTAATCCGCGTGGCACAACATATAACAACTGGTTAGCTGTTTCTTCCTAGTATGGGAATCTTCAGTAGTGCTCACCAACGATCCCGCATGCGGGATTGAACCCAAGAACTTCGATCTCGAGCGCGAACGCTTAACCTCCTGACCACTTAACCGAGATCCACCGTTGTTAATGTTTAACTTCAACCAATCTAATTCATGATCTCACATAAAACCTAACAAACTCCACAACCCCATAGTGATGTATAATATTTATCTGATTTTCTATCAAATTGTAGTTTTTCACATATTATACTGTTACATTTTTATATAATTATTTTGAAGATAATTGAGATCAGTAGTTTACCTTTTATTGACTGTATTTATTCAAAGAAAAAATCTATGGTGTAACTAAACACTTACCAACGTTATCGGTTGATTTATGTTTATCAAACCACAAAATTTTATGTTCATTTTCCTAAGATTTATCAAGTTAATGTATTAAATATAAAACATTTAAATAATAATATCATTGTTTAATGCAAGTAGCCATCATGATTGAACACATTTACCATTGTATACATTTGATATAAACAACATGACAACAGACAAATTTATTTCCAGTACTGTTAGAAAGGTTGGTTTTATAAGGTTTTAATTCGCAGTATTGTTGACAATCACAATCAAGCTAAAAATAAACGTCCAACAATCTGACTTCTATTTTATAACTGTAATTTATAAATTAACTTTTATAAAAATGACTTCTCTATTTCATTTCCTTCTTTTGCTTTTTTTATTGATTTATATATTTTAAAAGGGTCCATTTGTTGCTGCATTCGCTCAAGCTAATGAAGGTGATGTTTCACCAAATACTGCTGGTCCACGTTGTATTGACACTGGTTTACCATGTGATTTTGTACATAGTAGTTGTGGTGGTCGTGTAAGCCAAACAATAATAAACAAGAATTATAATTTAATTTAGGCACAAAATTGTATTGCATACGGTCCTGGTTCAGATATGTTTGAAAGTACAAAAATAATTGCATATAAGCAATTTGAAAAAGCATGGGTTTGTTAATATAATTACTCTCTATTTTTTCCGTATTCTTTTCTTTGTTCAGTTATTGTTTAATACTGCTACCACTGAGATAAATGGACCTATTAACTTTATTCATCAATTTATTGACATGACAAATATAAGTTTAAATTATAAGGTAAGCTGTTGATTTTATAGTAATTTTAACACATTTAATCAATTTAAAGAATTATTCAGGTCATACATGTGAACCAGCCATGGGTTTTAGTTTTGCTGCTGGTACAACTGATGGTCCAGGAGATTTTGATTTTATTCAAGGTATCTCTAATATACTTATAATTTGAAAATCTTTTACTAATTGTTTCAAAAGGTATTACACATGGTAGTTTATTTTGGCAAATTGTTCGAAATTTTATTAAAACACCAAGTGAGAAATTGATTAAGTGTCAAGCTCCAAAACCAATTCTTCTTCCTACCGGTGAAGTAAGTGAATTGTTTGTGAAATCTTATATTAATTACTTACTTACGCCTGCTACTCCTCGTGAAGGTGCAAAGGCCACTCATCGACATTCTCCGTACAACATTGTCCTTTCCAGTCGTTTCTAGTTCTCGTTCACTCTTCTGATATCTGATTCCGATTCCTGGCATAGTGTGTTATTTGGCCTTCTTCTTCTTCTCCGTTTCCCTTCAGGATTCCGAGTTAGCGCTTGCCTTGCGATGCAGTTCGGTGATTTCCGTATTGTATATCCTATCCACTTCCAGCGTCTCTTCTTAATTTCCTCCTCAACTGGAAGCTGGTTTGTTCTCGCTCAGAGTAGGCTGTTGCTGATGGTATCCGACCAAGGAATATTGAGTATCTTGCGTAGACAATTGTTTATAAATACTTGTACTATTTTGATGATGGTTGTAGTAGTTGTCAAAGTTTCATATTGAAGACTGTAACTTTGATGTTTGTTGACAGTTGTTTTGAGTCACGTATGTTCTCCAACTGTAGGAGTGCTATAATTGCTTTGTCAATCCTTACCTCTACGTTTGCATCAGGTACATGAAAGTTCCCACATATTCGAGAGCTTTTGCAGCAGTAGACCTCAACATACACAAGTGAAAAGTAAGATCCTGAAATGCAACACAGAGAACACCAACCCAATCACACTTGATGGAGAAGCTCTTCTATTAAGCAATAAAAATCACGAATGCACTAGAGAGTTATTTGGTTTTGTTACATAGCTCATCAGTGGCCATCTACGACGAACTTACTGTGGGTTAACCGTGGGACCTCGAAACTCTCTGTACTGGTAATAATGATATGCTCATGATTGACATATCGAGGTGATTCGCAAAGTTTTAGTGAGTTGTGGTCAGTGGAGTTTATTAATTTAGATTGCATAGTATTGTGAAATGTTTGAAGTTATAAATGTAAACGATTGGATGCTATTCGTGTAATCTAAAGGTTAAACGCTTGGTGCGAGACTTGAAAGTGCTAGGTTGGATGCCGGGTGGAACCGTGGGTGCACACCGCTTAAGCGGTCTGTAGGTTCTGCTTCGATATTCGGTAGATTTATTGGAGCATGTCTATTCAAGATTTCCACGAATATTCCATACATCTGTCCCTTCGTTCTTGAATCTCGGTGATTGTCTTGCCTGCTTTGTACTTGATCGGTCTCTCTTGTTTACTATATTTCCCTTCCAGTTTCTTTGTATTGACATATGATTGTTTCATATTTCCTTCTCCTGCACCTTTTTCCGCCTTCGCTGCTTGGTCTCCCACGTATTTCTGCTTATCGGCTTTATCGCGCTACTTTACTTGTTCGTTTGCTTCTGTGTATTCAGCTTGTGCCTTGATTTTTTATGTTCTTGTTCTACTGTTTTCAGCAAGCTTGTCTGAACTTCAAGGTTATCAGGAAAGATATAGGTGTTTAAAGATAAATCTATTCTTAAAGCTTATCGAATTCTATTCGGATAGTGATTTTTGTATAGTACCAAAATGTGAATCAGTATTTTGTAAAGTGTTCTTATTATGAAAAAGAATCAGTGTTTGTGTGTACTTTTATATTATTATGAATTAATAATTTTAGAAGATGATAGAATTCTCCGTCTATAACCAATGTTTCATATCCTTCAAATCGTACTAATATTCTTAATCAACGTTGCAATTTTTGCGTCCACGTACAAAACTTACATGTAATTTGTTGTTTATTAATGATGAAAAAATAGAAACTCTTGTCTTTTAATATGCTTTTGTGAAACGTTTTAGTGTGCAAAATTATTCAAACATCTTTCAATATATGTTAGATTGGAATGTTACAACGACTCATCAACCCTATAAATATTCTTTATCATTCTCTTACGACAACAAAATTTAATCGTAAAATATTAGCAATACTTTCCATCTTAAGAAATTGTACTTAATAAAGCAACTGAGTAAAGGTAAATCAGTAGTTTAGAGATTTTAATAGTTGAATTTATTAGTCTATGTAAGCTACATCACCATTGAAAACCTGGGTGTACTGGATGGGTCTTTTACCCTAGTATAGAAGTTCTCAGCAGTGCTCATCCACTACCCTGTACGTGGAACTCGAACCCAGGACATTTGGTTTTACATTCTTTCACTAATAACTCTTACTTCCATCTTCAGATGAAAGAAATGTTATTACTAGAAGATAAGGACAAGGCTATATGTTTGGTTAATTAGTGGTAGTAAGACGCTCTGTAGCATAGTCTACACAAAATGCTACAAGATTTCTTAACTCATTTTTTATATTAAATCGTCAGTATTTGTAAAGGAATTATATTATGTGAATTATAGCAATAAGTTTTTTGCTCTGTCAAGATGAATAAACCGTTGGTTTGAACGCATTTCAGTACTGTTGTTAAAGATTTGGATTGTTTGAATTTATGAAAGTCACTCTAAGGTTGTTGACGTTTCTTATTTATAAGCTTTAGCAAAAATAGTAGTAATAATAATAGTGATAATAATAGTATTAGAATTCCGAAACGCTATCTTGAAATTACTTTTTTATCCCTCTAAACATCAACATATTAATATACTACATATTACAATCTCTTTACCCTGTACACTATGTTTATAGACCTTGTGTAATTTACAATTGAACTCTTTTATTATGCTTTGTAGATGAATGTGCCTTATCCTTGGCAACCGTCTGTTGTTGAAACTCAAATTGTATCGATTGGATCTCTTTTAATTGTTGCCTTACCTGGTGAATTTACCACAATGTCTGGAAGACGTATTCGTGAAGCAGTGATTGAAGTAATTCTATTTATGTACTGTTCATAAAGACGCACTGTTTATGACATCAACTTATCGCCTGATTAAATGATTACTTTTGAAGTGCACTTAATCTTTAGTAGAGGAAGCTTCTTTATGTTCAAATAACCAAATTAAATAGCATAATTGAAATCAATTACTTTACACCAATGTTACATTACATATTTAGAATATGTATAATTCATTACCTAAAATTTTCGAACTCATTTCGATGTTAATCAACAAGCGAGTAATTGACAAGTGTTTTTCAAGAGAGCATAGTAGTTTGAATTCTAGAATTTATCACGTTTTAACCTTACATAGGGACAAGAAAAAATCGATTGTTGACATTCATAATTCTTTAATCATACTGAACGAGGTTTTTTTTTATTCATCTTGAATTACAATATCATTAATACCGAGTCATTAGGCTAGAGATATGATCACCATAATAAGTTGCCCACTGATCAACTTACATGTAACGAATAAACTTCCATAAGGAACTATATAAGCATTTATAACTAGTCAATTACCATGGCTACTGTGTAGTAATTAATTATAAAATTATCTCAATGTTAGAGTGTAGTGATATTGTACTATCTGAAAATAAATATGATACAGATTTTCAAAATTTATGCTTAGATTTTCTTATTTTTTTATTTCAATTAACATAAAGTTCATAACTAAATAATTATTTAGTTAACATAGAAATAACTGTAAACAAACAATGGTATATATTATAAATAAATTATATATTTGTAATATCCCAATGAGTAGAAAATTAGATTTTCTGACGTTTCGTGGCTTAGTGTAAGTCACTTCTTCAGAGAATAAATATTACAAATATATTATTTATTTATAACAATCAACCCAATGCTCAATTTTTTCGAAATAAAAAAATGGTACATATTGTGTATTTTTATTAAAAAAGTTTTTTTTTGGTATCCGTCACACAATTTAATCAGTTGATAAATACAGTTAAAAAACTAGGTATCATTGAATAGTTGGTTTTGTTCTGTTTGAGTTCTTTAGAACTGTATTCTACTAACAACCCTGTTAAAAGAGATTCTTAAGTTGCACGAGGAATTAATTAGAATTGGAAATATGAAGTCTTGTCTTTCTAATCTATAAGGTCTAAATGGATCTTAATTTTAATTTTTGGAGCCATCGTGGATTTACACAGCTGAAAGCTTCCATTCTATGGTGAAATATTTGTTTAGTGCTCATTCTTTTTTTTCTCTTAGTGAAACCTCAGCTGACGCTTTGCTTTATTGTAATTTCTATACATAATATAATATAATAAAGGAAACAAAGTATCAAATAAATATACCTATACAATATGGTATGTTTGTTCAGGTTAAAAGAAAAATAATCGATAGATTTAAGATAAGCCAATTTTAACCTGAAACTAGTTTTGTTCATTTATGAATTAAAATTGTTTATAGAGTATTTTCATACTATCACAATCGCTCATTATGATGAGAAACACATCCTGTAACTAAAAGCACAATGGTTACGTGACCTAACATAAGTTAAGAAATTTAAAGATATTTATAGAAATGTACCTTTTCTTAAAAATTGATACAATAAAAATCTCCAAAAACTAAACAACAAAATATGTTAGATTTTTTTGACTAACTGAGTGGATTTGCAAACTACAAAATTAAAACACCTGAGAATTTTTAGAAGCCTGGCACTCAAGTCAATCAGCAACCGACAAGCACATTGAAATCGATCCAAATTATGCATAAATATAATAACGAAAATCAGACCAATGGGAGACACAACCAAAACAAAGAAGTAAACTTTTGTGGACCGCGTGGTGGCTACTCTAAATTCTACTGATTGACTAACTGCAGATATCCCAGTACGACCCCAATACTGTTCCTTAATTTCCAATATAGCAGAACACTAACCGTTAGATGAAAATTGTTTATGGGGTCAGGTGAAGAATAATAATTTACAGACAAATGCATATTTATACAGTTAGGACTACCGTGAATATTGACCGACAGGAAAATGACACGTGAAATAAATATTGACCAATAGGAAAATGACACCATTTCACATTCAGGGATAGCATTAGACTTAACAGGATAATTTTTGGGATATTTTTCTGAATATAACAACATAAACAATGACAAATTTAAGGTCAACGTCGAGGTGTACAAAAAAAGCTGTGAAACGCATATGGAGAAATTCGAACACTTCACTTCTCTGTGAAGTTTGTGTTGATGATGTCGTTCACAAGGACGATGAAAGCTCCACGAGCAAACCATCCAGCTCAGAGAACAATACTCCAACATTATTAAGACCTTATGCATCTTATTTACTATTCAAATGGTTAAATGTTTTTTTTCGAGTTATACTTTTTAGATTCTAATTAGTTGTTTAGTTGAATGTAGTCGATAGAAGTTCTTGTTTGACATAGATTCCGTACTAGTTAACATTACACAGCATAGTTTAATCATAGTCTTGAGTAAACTGATGTTATACTTAGGATCCTAGTTCTCGTGGTTGAATATATGACACTTAACAAAGTTTAACTTACATCCATGACTTTCTTTTGATTGTCTCCAATTAATTGACATTAAATATAATACAACATCCACTTTTATTTATTTAGTTGATTTGCTCTAGTTTTACAATTTTGACAAAAATCTCATATCAATTTGAATTTATGTTACACTTTACTATTACAATCAATACTGTAATAGGTCTATATAGTAATTATTATTAATTTAACTAAAAATATATATGAGGACGAATGTGTATCTGCATTATGTAACAGAAAAATTATAATTATTCGTAATTATTATCTGACAGGTTAACTCGTGACACATATATTCATAGGTGAATAAATAATTTAACTAATCTTTTAATAGTTTGATAATACAAAGTATGAGAAAACTATCCATCATATCTGCGATAACATCATGTTTATTATAAACTAGCACTCTTGCAACTACAACGAACATTTGAATTTCCTATAGACAAAAAACCGATTACCTACAAATATTTGTGAGAACTTTCGATTAACTTTGAACGAATAGTTTCACAGTATTTGGTGCCGAGTTGGTGCAAGAAATTAAGGAGAAAGAGTGTATTTGTAAAATGTCAGCGAGAAAATTTGAGGTAGAGGCAACGTTTAATTTGACAATATGGTCCAAGCTTTTTCAAGGGAATATGATCAAACATCAAATTTCCAAGTGAAACGTCCCGACCGTTGTCTCTATCTTGACTTGGTGGTCGGGCTTGTCCATCGTGATGAACCAATCGAGCCATACTGGCTGGAACCCTACCGCGCCAGTCAGATCAGTTGAAGAACATTAAGACTAAAAGCAACGAACCCCAAGGTCTGAGGGCAAAGTCGTACTGCTAACTGTACAGAGGTGTGACGGTGGTAAGATGTTTCCTTCAGACAGCCTGGTTAACAGCGATGTTGCGTTCCCAGAAGGAGGGGTGGGGTTGAAAAAGGTCGACCCTAAAAATCCACACCTAACTTTATCTCACGGATTCCTATATCCGGTTGTAAGGTCCCAACAACCACGGAGCTAACACGAAAATTACTCACAAAAAGATCGTGTGTGACCGACCACAAGCATTTGTCACGTGGGCACTGCAATCACACTCTCAGGTCACTAAGACCACCTCTAAACCAATTTCCTTTTCAGTTACCTCCAGAAGAACCCTTCCACGGTGTGGGCAACCAGGAAGTGATAACCGCGCACATATCTTTAACAGCAGTCAAGTCCATTGTATTCCTAATCAAGACATTTAGGTGGGTATTTTAGTATCCCGGCTCAGCGAACAGATAGTGGTGATCGTCTGCCCCAACTGCTGAGACAATCGTTTAGTTTTAGCAAAAACAAATTTTAAGCATAAAGAGAGACATCATCTAATATGGCGACCCTATGCACCAAATCCACTATGGACTCAAATAAACTATAATTGCCATCAGTCATTGTTGGAGAGGGTCAATAGAAGATTGTAGCTCGTTCTGGAACACCTGCTTGGACTCCGACCATGCTCTAAAACGGGCACACATCTGCTTGCACGTTCGACTACTTCTCTCCCTATCCTTAGTTCAGGTGTTGACGCAAACTAGTCCTGAAGCAACAACTTGCATTTAGAGAAGAAGCGCATTCCAAACGTCCTGGTAAATTTGCTCAGTGCTACCAAAACACTCTGCACTTTATCAGCGCCTTCACTAAACAGGACTATATCATCTGCGTATTCTAAGTCGATAAGTGGACCTTTTGGTAGCAGATCAATGCCCGAGAATTCAGTCGATGAGAGCGTTATTTCTATCACTATGTCTATGATGAAGTCAAACTAAAACGGAGAAAGTGGACAGTCTTGACGGACACCACTCGAGATTGCAAAAGCAGATGACAGTTCGCCATAAGCTTTGACTCGATTAGTAGTGTTTGAGTAAAGAGCCTTCACAAAGTTTATGTACTTCTGAGGTATGCCTGAACACCGATTACCATGACGCGCAATGCTGGTTAGTGTTGGGGATGGTTGGAAGAAAGTTAGGGGTGCGGCCAAACCAAAACGCAGCATCAGTGCTTGAAGTCACTAACTCCTAGTGTGAGCCATGTTGGTAGATGCAGACAACTTGGTTGGAGTTCGCGTGACTATCGTAACCAATGATTGGAGACTTTGTGTGATATGGCTCAGGATCGATCACAATGGCGTCAGTGTATACACTCTCTGTCTTACTTACTTACTTACGCCTGTTACTCCTCGTGAAGGAGCATAGGCCGCTCACCAGCATTCTCCATTCTCTCTGTCTTGCTTTAAACTATTAGATCAAAGTCGCTTCATATCTTTATTTCTACGAACCAATTCTATCTTCCCGTACTATGTCTTTATATGCAATCTTTTATATTAGCACCATTGAAATAACTATTTTTATGTATTCAGTGTTCATCTCGTTGTGCTAATGCAGTATGGCAACTTGGACCGATGCATATATGTGCTCGGTCCTAAGTTGTGGC